CTTCGCATGACCTCCTCTATGTCACCCTCTCACTGACATCCATTTGAGTTCGACTCGAGCAATGGCCTGGCGTGTGATGTTACTTGATGGTTTTCTCATAGTATGACCAATCCAACTCCATTTCTTCCTACATATTTCTTGAACAATCGGTCCCTGGTTAGTTCGCTCCCAGAGATCCCTGTCGCTGATCTTTTCTGGCCATCTGATCTTCAGTACTGAGCGAAGACAGCTGTTGATGGAGTTCTGTAGTTTGTTCGAAGTGCCCATCGTGACGCGGCGCCAAGTCTCTGATCCGTATAGTAGGTAACACTGACTTCACATCGAAGTTGAAAATCCGGATCTTACTTTTCATGCTGAGTGCTGTTGACCTCCAAACAAACTTGAGAGTAATGAAAGCTTGTCTTGCTTTGATATCCTCATCAGTTCCGCCTGTAGTTGAAACGATGCTTACCAGGTAGGTAAAGGCAGTTGCTTCCTTCAGATTTCTCTCATTTATGCTGATTGTTGTCTGTTGTTGTTGTTGCTGTTGGTGTTGTCCAGGAATCTTCATCACTTCTGTTTTCTCTATGTTCACCTGAAGTCCTACCTTTGATGCTTTTTCTGCCAACTTGTTGTCTATTCACTTGCATATCTTCCAGTTTTCTGGGAAATCAGACAAATATCATTGATTGATATACTATACTACTATATTTGAATCCTATGTAATTTTGTCTTTCTGGCACTTGTGATTTACATTCACACTGAAATTTTCATATCAGGTTGAAAAGTATGATCACCTTTGATGTCCCTTTGCTGGCATGTTGTGAATTGAATAATAATCGTAACTATGCAAACTTATGCATATGAATGCAATTGTACAGCTCTTGAGGATGAAATTGACGAAAAAATTTTGCTGAGATTCATGTTCTTTTCCCTCTAATGTCCTGATACTTGTTTGTATTTTATTCTAATTCATAACTTTTCCCACCCATGAAATATGTTTATTTCTGTATGTTCAAAACCCACCTTCTCTTATTTGGTCGATAATGAAGGCAACAAAATTTTTGATTCACTGCAGAGATAAAATTATGTAGGATTTAGTAGAAAAGTGTATCAGTCTAAGTATTTACACTCCAAAGTGGAAGTGAGTAATGAAATGCCGGACAAACAACCCTGACTGACTTCAATGACTCAGGGATTGGCTTGTTACCAGGGAATAATCTCATCGACTTAGAATATGCAGGTGATATAGTCTTTCTAGGGGAAGATGCCATCTGTGGCTTAGTAGACGTGATATCCAGTTGTCGACCGAAGGACGTGTGTACTGCTTAGTAGTTCTATCCGCCGTCCTTTATGGATGTGAGTAAGACGTGGATATTGAAAGTGGGAGATACGAAAAGGTTAGCTGTCTTTGATCATAGATGTTTGCCCCCTATCTACCGCGTTTGTTGAGTGACATAATAAGGTGAGCAATATTGAGGTTAAGCGTTGAGTTCTGGGTAAGGAGGGGAAATCAATTGACGACGTTGTGAAGTTACACCGATTGAGAGAGATAGCTAGGACATGTGTTACGCGTGTCTAGCCATTGCGTACCTCGACAATGGGCAATGATAGGTGACATAGGATAAGGTTGGAAAAGAGCTAGTGGTGATCAAACTAAAACATGACTTCATCAGCCAATGAAATACGTAACAGTTAGTTTAAGCCGGCCATTTACATAGGGAGGTGTAAACTTCTTAACGGGTTGGGGTTTTGGGGATGGTAAAAACCAATGGCTGGAGACAATTGATGGTATGGCTCAAAATCGTTCTCAATGATGCAGATGCATTCACTTCTTGTGATTCATCATATCCAATAAAACTCTACTGTTTTTTCCATATTACTGTACTCCCTTCTTTTCCTTTGTGTGGCACATCGAGAGAGAGTGGCAACTGCTGCACATTTGTGCAAAGTTCCATATTGAAACCAGTTAGTCAGACAAACAAATAGCATGTCTGAGATATCGTAGTAGACCAAAAAGATTCTAAGAATGCTCATAATATTGAAAACTCAATACAATAACTGCATTCATATCTTATTCTAATCAGTTTCAAAGTGCTACAATAAGCTTTCAATGATTGGTTATGCATACTTCTAAGAGGTGAATTCAAGCAGCCGATAACTTTGTAAACAACTTAAATAAGTAGTTAGTGACTTCATTAACTGTTATGTTTACGAGGAATTTGTCGACTACAAAGCCATACCATATTTGAAGGTTAAATAAGAACTGAAGCTAGCTAAAGAACCATTGAAAACGAGGTAGTACTGGACAGTTGTTTCGTCCCTGCCTAGGATTCTTCATCAGTAGGCAACCATGGCTCCATCCATCAAGAATCAATCCCGGGACCTTCAGGTTACAAGGTGAGCTGGTATAACATTCAGTCAGTAGGACAGAATCCAATAGCCCGTCAATTCTTACTTCTGAGAATTTCCGATATCTAGTGAGACCTCCTGCCAGTGTTACCGGCGAGTATTTATCCTTATATACAAGTTGGCGCACCCTGCAAATCACGACTTTCCATTGGAACTACGATATTTGTTTAGAGAATCAATGAAGATCGAAAAATATTCTTTTCACGAACATCTCAACAACTTACACTTAAGATCCCGTTTGTAAAACAGATCCATAGGCTGTCAGGTTACTACAAGGTGTAAATTGTGTATGTTCACTTCCGTTTATTTTCTTTAAACTAATTCTGATCTAGCTGGTAATACATATATATAGCGAAAAACTATGATTTGGACAGTTTTTTCTTTACTGATTCATAGTTTCATCAACTGACTTAACCTTTTCGCCTACTAGCGTAATACTTTATCCCCAACATTGTTCGCCGTACAACTTTATCTTAAATAAGCAACTCTGTTCGGACATTTATTATTTTCAAGATTTGATTGGCCGTTGCTCTAGGAACTTGATTTTTCGTGCTCGAGAACATATCCCACTATGGCTAAGTAAAGGTGTAGTTAAAACTATTAACAGCTCGATATTAGACCATCTGGTGCAAACCGGTCACAAAGCCAGCGTAGAAGAATCCTTCTCGATAATATACCGGGTGCCTAACAAATTACCAAAATCGTCGAAGCACCACATGCTCCAAACTGCAGAGGCTATTGCAATTCACCTCAAACAACCAGTGCTCTGTGTTCAAAAGAAACAAATCCAGCTCCTACTACTGCCCTGGCCCTCAGTAGAAACTATAAACTCATGAATTTGTACTATTATCTTTCATAATTCTTCTGATATTCAGTTTATTTTATGTTGATGCTGTTCAGCTGTAATCTATCAATATTATTGATTCGATGTTATTTAAACATTAATGTCGTTCATAAGACTAATTCATTCATTCATTATGATGTATGTATAATTGTAGAACTTGATGATGAATTTATCGAAAAGAGTACTCTTTGTTCTGTGTCCATCCTTTTGAAGATTTGATTTGTTTATCGAGTTTGATCATGGGCTGATATTAATTAGAGAACCATTGAAAACAAGCAAGGAGTAGCGGACAGCTGTTTCATCCTAGTTCGGAAATCATCGGCAGTATGCACCCACTGGGTTTCGAGCCCATGACCTTCCTGTTACAAGGCAAGCTCGTATACCATTCAGCCACTGGCACCCAATTCATTGCCCCACTGGGGTGCTGCTGACGATTCCCAAACTAGGACGAAACAGCTGTCCAGTCCTCCTTGGTTTTCAGTGGTATCAATCAGTGATCAAACTCGAAGAAAATTTATTATTGGAAGTTGTATTTTCAAAGACATTCTGAAAAAGTACTACATACATACTATCACATAAATGAATAAATAATAATTATTAAGATAATCAGTACAAACTACAATTTTAATTAGCAATTATTACTTGTGGAACCATCTTTTTGAATGAATCCATGATACGTGATGATTTCGACTCTTGATAATACGAAAAACAACCGGTAATCACAACCACGGCTGCCAAGACGATACCAAGATACAACTATGTAAACAAAAAAGGGAAAAGAAAGAAGAAAATCAATTTAACAGTGCTTCTTCTTATGGGTTCCCTTTCATCGTATACAACAAAAAAAGAAAGTCATATTACTGGAAAAGACTCACGTTTTCTTTATCTTCATGATAGATAGAAATGTTTTCTTTGAAAAATAAAACCATATTTAAACATTGTGAGAAATTAGAATATACTCGGAGTATTTTGCCCCATACTTTTTATTATTTGGTTTCTGAATCGAATCAAGCCTTTAAGCTTGAGCATTGAAGTTTCAGTAGCGGTGGTTTTCACGGGGTAGGGTTGGTAACCCCACGCCAAACCTTCCATTTTTACTCGGCTTACTACTGGCTAAGCGATGTTTAGCAGTGAGCCGGCAGGGGAACGAGCCTCGAACCACGTGTATTGTGGCTGGCGAGTATTCTGCCACTGAACCACCGATGCACATTTCGTCTTACACAAAGTTCATCAGCTGAAGAAAGATACATTTAATATGACTGATTTCAATAGACATTTAGTCTGCGCGCTAAGCATTTGTATTAGATATAGGGATATTTTTCTTGTTATACCCATAGTGAAGTGGTGTAAAATAAAATTATTTGGAATAAATGAAACCTGTCGCATAAATAAGTATACAGTTGGATCCCTTCCATGGGTAACTTATTACATGCAACCATTGTTGTTTACATAATCACGACAGCACAACATGAGTGACAGCATAGACTCGAGTAAAAAAAGACATTAGACCAAGTTGTCTCACTGAATAGCAACAAAAACGAAAATCAACAAAAAGTAGATTACGAGAATAGTCAAGATAGGTAATGGTAGACGATGAGTATGAAGTTATCATGGATACTTGTGAACATTTGATTTTTAAGACCATTAAAGTTTTCTAATTGTTTATACCTAAAACTTTATTATCTTCACTTGACTAGCTGACATTCATTTCTATCTATACTACTATGAAACTACACATCTAAAATCGCTGTAGACACCGTAACAACATTCGATCCACAAAGCTTAAAGAGAGATTGTATGATGTTGAATAGTTGAAAACATTCCGTAGAAACAAAAAATTCTAAACCTAGGTTTCCTGCTTGTCAGCATAGCTTATTTGTAACCTTGAGAAAACTAACATCCCCCACTGAGATTTGAACCCGAATAGCTCAGTAGTAACGTCTCTGACTGGGTTCATATCCCAGAAGGGGACTTAGTGCCTTCAGGGTTACAGATACTCCTTGCCTACGACGGACAACAAGCACGAAACCTAGGTGCAACGTTCCCTTCCAATTACCTCTCACTACCTAACATCAATTCACAATGCAGCACGATGGCGATTCACCTAGCTGGATGACCCCATTGCAAATATAACTGACAGAATCTAATCAGCACCAACACCATGGACTAAAAACATAACATTGATTTATTCCCAATGACCAGCCAATGTAGAGATTATATAACTCTGCATTGACATCAGTGATCCAATGGAATGGAAACTCTGACTTCAATTTTTTAACGACACTCGTGCATTAACTCTCCAGTTGATTAATTAGGTCTCCTTTTTGTTCTGTAGGTTTTGAAAGCGCTACATAATACTACAGATATTCTTTTAATAGTATAATTTAAAACTTTTATTCAAACCAAACTACCTCATAAGTAAACTAGTCATTACTGACACGAAGAAGACAGGATCAGGAAGTAGATCCATGGGGTTCTGATTGATTGTAAACCAGTTGCATCACAAGTTAATATAAATTGAAGAATAAAACAGTACCAAACAACTAATTTGATCCAATATAAGACTTTTTAACGATGCTAACTCGCCACCTCATGGGGGTTTCACATCACACGAACTTCAGAATATTGTGATGAGTAAGACACTATTCACATTAGAGATCTAATGATCATTGAATAACCCCTCCCCATAACTTCATTGTACACAATTTTGATACGGCTCAAAAACTACGTTTGATTCTCAGTGATTCACTATATTTCACCAAATAAAAATTTGCCAGAAAATAAACAACGACATTTTGAGTTTTACATCAGTGACCAATACTCTACTACTATTGAAAACTGTGACAAATGAGCGCCAAAGATTAATTCTGATCTACTAACATTTTTCTTTAAATGTAGAGAAATTCTTCACGTTTTTTTTTTCAGAAGAAGAAGTTAATAAAGTCTTTTTTAGTCAGAAAAACTTTGATATATATTAGTTAGGCTTAAAAAATATATTGTCAATGTCTTTTCATATCGGCAAATGACTGACTACTGATTTACACGTGATTTTAGTTAGTTTCGTGTAGAATAATACAACGTTTTGAATGTATTTCTACAATGAAAGTCAGTTTATTCAAAAGTGATGCTTTTTTAGCCTTGTTGAACAAATTGATTATTTGGTTTTTCCTAACAGTGAGGTGTTTCTAACTTCATAAGTGAAAAAGTATGCCATAATTATTTAAAAACTCTGTAGTTTACATGAAGTAATTTGGTGGACAGTGACTAGCATTTCTCCCCCACCTTGAACTCATTATCCGGGTGCACCTGTATTTCCTGGTGAGACAAGACTCGAACTCAGTATTCGTAGTCTTAAATGCCACAGTGTCATCCACCAAGCCACCTGGGTTACGATAGTCACCTCACTGCAGGTATATCCAGTTGGCGAGTCCCAAATAGGAGGAGGAAATGAGCATCCTGGATTTCACTGCTAGTTACCATCCACCAAATTACTTCAAGTTATTCCTCAGACATTGTTATAGCATCCATACTATGGGGACAACATGCCAACAGATGCCGAATATTTCGGCCCAATCAGTCAACAGGAAAATCTACAGTTTATCAGCCCATTGAACATAAATTTCAGCTGATTTCACGTAGTACCAATAGAATTATTGAGTTTACACAAGAATGAGGTAAACACGTTCATAGAGGCATAAGATATATATGATTCCAATCTTGAAATAATGATGTGACTGTATTGAAGCCATAATATAGTTTCTGAGTCGAGATACTTTGTAGGACTGCATGATCACATAAAAATGGATTATTTTCTGGGGGAACTGAAACTAATATTATGCTAAAAGAAGAGACAGTTCAAGTGTGCAATTAATAGTGTTCTCTGAGCTGGTTGGTTCAAGTATCTTCAGTGTTCACCTAATTTCGATGAATATAATACTCCCTCTCTCCTCTTAAGAATGCTTATGATTTGATATTCATTAGTTGATTATACCATAATCAGTGTTATTATAAAGTGAGGTTTTTAAATCTTGTGTTATATTAGATCTATGCTCAATAATAATATTTTAATGACACTGCTCAGGCGTGAGGCTAGCAACCCCACTCTGTAAACAAAGTTGCTACAGAAACTTCAGCACGATGAATCTCCTTGCGTCAAAAGAAAAAGTCTGTGTGGGGACATGGGACGTCCGCACCATGTAAGAGATTGGCAAAGCTTCCCAGATTGCAAACGAGATGAAAAGATGCAGAATTCAAGTACTAGGTATATGTGAAAGCAGATAGAACGGGAATGGACTCACCAAATTGTCAATGGGAGAGTCATTGATCTACTCCGGTTACCCAGAAGACAACCACATGCACACAAAGGGAGGCGGTCTCGCCCAGGATAATGACCGCCACACTCAACTAAAAAGGAAGGAAAGTGTCATTTATACAATGCTATGCACTCACAAACAACACAGACCTCGAAAAGAAAGAAGAATTCTACAGAAAACTACAGGCGACAATGGACAATACTCCAGTTGGTGACATCAAAATACTAATGGGAGACATGAACGCCAAACTGGGTCCAGACAACACAGGAAGGGAACTCATCATGGGTAAAGAAGCTCTCGGAGAGATGAGCGAAAATGGAGAACTCTTCGCCGACTTCTGAGCCTTCAATGAACTAAGGATTGGTGGTAGCGTATACAAACATCAAGATATCCACAAGGCTACATGGGTGTCACCAGATGGGCGAACCGAAAACCAAATCGACTTCGTCTCAGTCTCAAGGAAGTAGAGACGTAGCCTACTGGACACAAAAGTAAGAAGAGGAGCAGACGTTGGCTCAGACCATTATCTCGTACAAGGGACAATCCAAATCAAACTAAAAGCTTTCAGAGAAGCAGGAGCTGCAGATAGACCACAAGCCAAGTTCAACACTCAAAGACTGAAGGACCAGGATACAAAGGACATCTTCACTGCAAGCATAAGGGAAAAAGCCGAGACACAAATCAACACTGGCGAAGAGATCAGCGTCGAAAAGCACCGGGACAACCTGAACGCGGTGTTGAGTGAAACCTGCATGGAAGTTCTAGGCAGAAAGAAGAGATAGGACAAACAGTGGCTCACTACGGACACTTGGAGAGAGAGAGAAGAGAGTAGGATGGTGAAACACAAGATTGTCCAGTGCATCGATGAGCAACAAAAACAGGAGTTGAATGCAAGCTACAATACTCTGAACAAAAGAGTAAAGAAGAGTTCCAGGGAAGACAAAAAAATATTATGAAGCTATTGCAAGTGAAGCAGAACAATCTGCATGCAAAGACCTCACAAAACTCTACTCCTATCGGGGAAATGTTCGACACAAATTAAACCAGTGAAGGATGACAATGGAAAGTCAATCACCAAAGAGGTGGAGCGAAAGAAACACTGGGCTGAACACTTCAGGAGACTTCTAAATCGACTGCCGCCTATAACGCGCCCAATAATACGAATAGCAGAAGCAGAATTACTGGTGAACATCAACCCTTCGATGAAAACAGAAATCCTGAAGGCAATAAAGATGCTAAAAGCTGGAAAAGTAGCAGAAACAAACGGAATCCCAGCAGGAGCATTAAAAATTGACCCAGAGACATCAGCGGAGTTTGATGACGCCACTACTGGAGAAGTCGTGGAAACAGGGCAAAGCATCTCAGGATTGGAAGAAAGGATACTTATTCAAACTGCCAAAGAAAGGAGACTTAAGTCAATGCAAGAACTGGCGCGGTATTATGCTCCCCTCCATCCCAAGCAAAATACTAAGCCGCATCATCCTGGAGAAAATCAAACATGCCCTGGATGAAAAACTTCGACCGGAACAAGCTGGATTCATATATGTGTAAAACTTGGGCACCGTGGTAGTAAGTAATTCCGTACTAGTTTGTTTATTAGATATGTCACACAGTGAAACAGTATTAATTACTGGATGACGTTTCGAACAAAATTTATTGATCATAATCATATCAGTTGTAATCACACGACTTTGAAACTTCAGTTTTATAGTTTTCTTTGTTTTCTCCTATTTGTCGTTGTGGTAGTAGAATTATATATATATATATATATATATATATATTCAGGAATTACTTTGTTGGAATGTGATTTGCTTCGAGTTTGGCCATGGATTGATGTTAGTTGGAGAAACATTGTAAACCATCTAGGAGTACTGCATAACTGTTTCATCCCTGCCTGAGTCTCTTCACAGTACACACCCACGAACCCAGGACTTACAGGTGAGCTAGTATACCATTCAGATAATAGGAAGGAATCCATTCGTCCATCAGTTCAAGCTTCTGTCAGTTCGCCACTTTAGCGTGACCACCGACGAGTTACAGTCCTCATGCGCGATCTGGTGGACTCTACTGATCACGACTTCTTACTAGAACTGCTGGCTACTTCGTCCTGTAACCAGTCGCTAAGTGTCTAGTCCTCCCTGTTTTTCAAAGGTTCCGAAAGTGAAATCAATCTGCGGTCAAACAGTCATACAGTTTTAATATATTTGTGTGAAAATTTCTTTGACATGATCAGAAAGTGTATAATTTATGATAATTACGTCGAAATTGTTCATAATACGCTGGATCAATCCGGAATTTCGAAATGACAAGTTAACGTTAATAAATTATATTTGGTGTTGTTTTCTCTGAGCACTGATGGTGGACATTGTTTTTCAGTTGGTTATATCCATTATTAGGAAATATGCTATTCTGTAGTTGTCTCTGTTTCCTGATAATATATATATATACATGAACAATTTCGACGTAATTATCATAAATTATACACTTTCTGATCATGTCAAAGAAATTTACACACAAATATATTAAAACTGTATGACTGTAAGATTTTTTTTAATGTCAGTGTGTTTATTAGATAAATCAAACAATGAAAACAACATTACGCACTTATATAGCTAGTATGCCATACTGTTTCACAGTGCAATCCATCTATTAAGTGCACAAGTGTGCAAAAGCAAATTTTCTCAAAAAGCATAATATTCTCTCAAGTCAAAAAGCTGTAATGGTTTTAATTGACAGCATATATTAAAAGTCAAGAAGGAGAATCTATTCCAATGGACAAGATAATGAAAAAGTATAAGTAACTTATTAGTATTATTCCGTTAGGTTTCGGGTGAAATATATGACTTAAACGGCACATCTCCATTTCATTCTGTTCTCTACAGTTGTCTTTAGTTGGCTCCACTTTTGTGCACTAGTTCTCACCTCCTCTTCAGTCTCGAACCCAGACCCAACTTGTCATTTCCCATCCCAGTTCCATTTGAGGGCTTTCATGGAGCGCAGTGTCTGATTCATTTCCATCTTCTTTGGCATGTTTGTGAGGATATAACCTCTTGGTTGGTTCGTCGCTTGTCAGTCCCCTGTTGCCAATCCTTTCCGACCGGCTAAGTGATATTTTATGTGGAGCGAAGTCAACTGTTGATAAAAGTTTGCAGCATGCTATTCGAGGTGCTTTTCATGACTTGCAAGCCAAATGTCTAAACCATATAGAAGCACCAACTGACTTGATATTATTGTTGAAAATCGGAATTTTGTTTTTTATGCTGAGTGCAAAGGACCTCCATATTGATTTTAGACTAGTGAAGGTATGTTTTGCTATTCCGGTCTTCATTGATTTGACACCTTCATCATCGTTTCGACCACAGGCAGCAAGCCTGTGGGTAACTTCATAATCTCTGTCTTCTCAGTGTTCATTTGAAGTCCTGTCTTTGCTGTCAACCTCCTCTTCCAACTTTTTGATTTTTACCTGTAAACCTCTGAATTAGTGTGACCTCGTCTAGATCACAGGTTCACTAGTTTAGCAGGAGGTTCCAATCTTGCGAACAAATTATTATTATTTAATATTTAAATACAGAAAACTTGGTACAATATGGCACCAAGAAGATATGCCACACAATAATAATAAAATAATACAGATTAAAAGTAAAAACATGAGTAGAGAACGGATAAAGAACTTCATCTGGAAGGAAAACAGTCATATTTAACAAGTACTAACAGCATTCGTCAATTATCGTCGGAAAGGGAAGAAAGAAGGAAATTGCAGTACGTTCGCCATTGATTATGATTTTTGGGCATATCCGATAACGTTTCGAGCCACCGACTCAAGCTATCTTTCGGAATCCAACCAGGGAGTCGTGACACACCAACCGATGCTAATCTAGCACAAATATCCTTCATCCCACGACACCACGTCATGGACTGACCACCTCTCCGCCTTTTCCCTCTCGTCCCAGGGCTAGCGAACAGAGACCTGTACGGAAGCCTCTAGGATGACATTCGCAGCACATGTCCCAGCCACCGAAGCCGGTGTTTTCAGATGACAACATTCGACGAATAGTGATCTCCACTGTGTCCAAACACACACCGCCGGACCTCAGAATTAATCACGCGATGATGCCATCGAACGCAAGCAATCCTGCGGAGACAGCGATGATCGAACATGCAGAGTCATTGCACATCCTCAGCTCGGAGGCCAGGTTTCACAGGCATAAAGCAATACAGCCCGCACCGAAGCACTGTATGCTTGACCTTTGATAGCCAGGCTAACGTCGCGACGGCTCCAGAGGTGGCTCAAGTTAACGTATGCCAGCGCAGCTTTCATGATACGGTTGGAAATCTCATCCGTCACCCCTCCACCAGCACTCACACAGCTACCCAGATACACAAACTTATCGACAACTTCAAGCGGATCACCTGGAAGAGTGAGTGCAGGTACAGGTTCCTGCCAATCTTCTAACGATTCTTTACATTTAGACAGCGCAAAGCCCATACCATACTTACAGACACTGATCGCCAACTGGTCAAGAGCGATTTGAGCAACCTGCATGCTATCGCACAGTAAGACGATATCGTCTGCATACTGGAAGTAGAAAAATCTCTCTTCAGGGAACAAAAGGGAAGTTGGAAGTCGGGCTACCCACCCAACCCAATCGCCACAGATTCTTCGAAGCATGAAAAAAGTAAATAAATAAATAGTCCTGGAAATATTAGCTTCATTGTCAGCGCATGGAACAATCTCACTTATAAGAGAAGAAAGCTTTGTACTTTCTTATATTCATGGATTTAGCAGATAAAAAGTAAACATTGAATTAACATTTTCATGTGGTACCTCATTATAAAGTGAGTACTCATTTAGACCCGTTATTTCAAATAAGCACCAGAAATTATAAACACAACATGATTGAAAGAAACTCCTTAAATGAGCATGAAGTTAGAAGTCTTTTTCAAAAATTAACTTTCCAAGCTTTTGTGATTAGTATTTTATGTGTAGGCAAGGCCGAGAACTATATTTCCCAGTACATAAATAAACTACCATTATGTTAAGATCAGAGTGCATGTCCAACGCCTTCATGAATAGCAGCTATACTCTGCAGTGAATTGACAATTATTGATATAAGTATAAAACTTGGGCACTGTGGTAGAGTGTAACTCCATTATGGATAAGATTTTATTTTCATAAATCACACAGTGTTACACAGTAATATTAACTGATGACGTTTCGAGCACAAACTATTGCTCATAATCATATGAAGTTACTCACACAACTTTTTCTTCATTTATATACATGTGTGAAATCGATTAGATATTGGAATAAAAATCAGTATGAGATAATTTACATTCAGAAATAACAATATGAGTGTTGTTGATCAATTACAATCAGATGTGAAATAAGACAATTATTTCAAAATAATTTCTTAATTAAAAAGGTAGATGAGAAAAAGGAAAAATAAACAGCTCCACTGTTTAACATTTTATCTTCTGGGAATATTTCCTTCCTTCTAACAATATCAAACTGACCCATCGACTTCATGAATACTGTAACAGGCGAATACAATTACCTAACCTATGTATGATTGAGTGCTCAACAATTTGTGACTCTATCCAATATTTGTTTTCGAAAACATAAAATTTGTTAGTAGCGCTGTAGTTGCATTAGTATTCTAGACAATCTTTCTTCAACAGTATGTGTACTTATCTGAATTCGCAACTGTTTCACTTTAATAGTTTATATTTTTTAAGCAACCTCCACACATTAAACCTAATACCTCTTTTCGTTTTTAACTTCCATTCCTGTAGTTCTCTTTCATACAATTCAACATCCATCAAATATTCCAGTATACAGTCTAAACACCTCAGATGTAGTATCTCTCACATATATGTTAACAAGCTGTTCAATCTCTAATAAAGTTTGAGGTTACTTTTGATGATTTTCCATCATCAATAGATCTCTGTAGAAATTTATTTCGGTTAGTGGTTGTAAAGTGAGATAATTTAACTGTAAATATCTTCTGCATTCAGTCCGTTAATTTTTGGTTAAAACTGATTGACTACTTTCTGTACAATGGCTCCTTTTGAATATCTAACAGAATAAAGTAGAAACCCATTTCTAAAAAAACAACACAACCATAGCAGGATAAACTCAGTCATAAACACTTTCAAAGGTCATGTTTGATCATAAACTCATGTGTGCCTAAAACTTACGAAATTAAAAGTGTACTTAAACTCCCTTGTACATTTTGTTTCACTAAATTTCACTAACGTTTTAATATAATCCCTAATAATAGTTGATTTATTAGTCCTTGATGATCTGATCAACTGTTCAGTTTACATAAAAACGAAGTAGTTAAATACAGCAACTCACATTATCCTTTGTATCATCATCACCCGAACTTCTTTGAATTCCATACGCGATAAAGCAAAGAATAGCACCGATCCAAAGAAGCATTGAAAATCCACCAAAGAGTGTTTTGCAGAATTTTACCCATTCTGGAGTTTGTTTTGGTGGTGTTAATGCATTTGGTCCATCACGCTCTAATCGAACCCTAAAATAATAATAAAATGATAGGTATTTCTTCCGAAAATATTGAAAGCTAACTTGGCATCTTCACTTTTCAGACCATTTTCAGGATCGGTAGATAATCGAGAATACAACTCCTCAAGAGATATTTTGTGCTCATCCATATCCAGCTCCTGTTTGAGATCATCCAAGCCACTTTGCTTTTCATCTTTCTCGGGTTTCTTTTTACCAGAAACTTTATGGTATATTCCTTTTAACTGTAAAACAAAACGTGCACACGTTTTAGTAATCGTAATGAACACATACTGAGTTTAAAAATCGATTTCTTTATCTATAAATGGACCAGAACACTACTAAAGATTGTGTACTATTGAGCATATCCACTTATTTCCAAGGTTTCTTTAAATGACTTTGAACTGAAACAAGAGATACGTTGAAAACATGAAATTTCTCAGACTAACCCACCAGTCATTGATATAAAAATAAAACTTGGGCACTGTGGTAGAGTGTAATATAATTTACAAAATACCCTGCAATGACTGTGAGGTCAACTACATAGGTCAAACTAGTAGGTCAGGGGTAGTCAGATTGTCAGAACATAAGAATTTAGCTAAGGTAAGAATGGTTGACCCAGAGAAGATAAGTAATTTGGAAAAAAGCTCGGCAATTGCAATGCATGCATTAACACACAACCACACAATAGGGTGGGAGAGGGTTAAAATTCTAAAAAGTAACCTAGGTAGGTGGAGAGAGAGGTTGATTACTGAATCTTTGTTCATCGAATCTACACCCAACACATGCAATAGGAATGAATCATCACTCATACCCGAGATATGTAAAATAATACTACCAATCAAATCAAGTGAAAAACAATGGAACTATATAAATGAATTTAGGAAGTCGTGTGATTAACTTGATATGATTATGAGCAATAAATTGTGCTCGAAACGTCATCAGTAAATATTACTGTATAACACTATGAGACTCTATAAAAATAAAATTTACCCATAATGGAAGTAACCCACCAGTCAACGAAGAACCTTCCATAAAAGTGTATCACTGGAATATGTTACCCTCTGAAAGAGCACTAAAATATATGGGACAAATTGTGTTACTACGATCAACAAGCAGTTGTATGAGCACCGAAGACAGTCAAAAGAAGATCGATGACAACGCCCAATACTCCAAAAAGATGACAGGAGAAATATTTTCATGAGTATGCGTAATTATGAACTGTATCGTCAAACACCTCTGACCAATGTTTTCGGTACTTTTGAGACTCCAGACAAGTAAGTGACATAGGAATTTAGCTGTGACCAACACTGCTTCCACAGAAAAGAGCCAGTTTGGTATCATGGAAGAGTGATCAAATAAAAGCATCTGGATTCAAAGTATTAGTAGCAGTAAGAGTAGTACAGTGGAACAAGAATAACCTTGCTAATCGATAACATTTAGGATTGTAAACCACAATGTGAGCTAAATTGTTACTCAAACTTGCAAACCACTTGTTAAAGCAATATGCTACGGATTTCTGTCTAATAAGAGGAATAAAGGAGTAATTGGTCATGCAAGACTTAATGATTGCTAACTTTGGTTTGCCTATATAGAAAAGATAGATTGAAAAGACCAAAGCGACTTAATTCGCATTACTTACGCAATTACCTCACATATCAAACAACTAGTACGTTAATAGAAAAAAGTTGAGTTTTTCAAACTTCATCTGATAACTAGCATCATTTGTGTACTATTTGTCAGCTAAAACTAAAAATAATTGATTCTTATGTAACTCAATCAATTTTATGTTGTATTTACTCTGCAATTGCTCCCTCTAATTCTACGGAGTATGATAAAGATGCCACTCGACGCAAATTGTTTTTAGCATATCCACTAGGCTAGTGCTTCCATACATGGTGCTATTCACGAACAACATTGTGAGATTTTAACACCAGAATATTCCATGACTTCATGATGTTAACTTAATGCTAGTTAGTTTGACTCCATTGAGAAGTAGTATAGCATGCATACAAGAATATTTAAGATTACTACCTTGAAATACTTCATGTGAAAAATAGATAACTTAGTTTTATCAAGCAACTTAATGTGTAAAACGAATAAACAGTTCTTATTGATTTATTGAAAAATATTTTCATATAGTACACATAATTTAAGCTTGCGGTTTCGGGAAAGTAGGAACACTGGTTTTACAGATGGAATTGTAAAATTCAATCTGATTCATGTAGAAACTATTAGTCTGTCGACTGATCTAATTAGCCTTTGATACTTTTAAGCAAAAGAACATTTACTAGTTTTAAACGCCACTTCACGAAGTGAAAAACACAATTTACTCAAAAATTTAGCGAAACGAATCCCCCATTATTTTGAATTGAATAACAATTGGTAAATGTGTTTGAAATCTCTACTACGAGTACATTAAGTTTCTGAAGGATAATTATGAAGAAATACCTCCTGATAATGTGATAACCTTAATGAATTCTTAGCCAAATTTGTTGTTAACGAATTCAACATGAAATCCATATGTGAGGGCTGTAATGCTATCATAAGCATCAGAAAGTGATTATTTACTGCTGTTTGCATAATGGCGATAAAAATGCACCCACAGTAAGTGTGAACTGACTGACTTACGAACACAGAACTCAGCACAAAAGTAAATCAGTTCAAGTGGCAGCAATTTCAAGAAGTGAGCATAAAAGTAAGAAATAGACTTTTGTGAAGTCAGTAGCGAGAAAGACTATGGAGTTAGGAGTTTCCAGTGCCAAATGAATTAGGAATAACGCAGAAAAAAACATGAAATTCTCATCGGATTTAAATTCCTGTCTAGCCAACCTTAATTAGTAGTCAAACCACTTTGAATTCTACCAATTCTAATAACACTAAAAAGTTCAAGTTTTTTAGAGAAAGATAGACTACAGTATTGTTCCTTAAATGCTTTTAATTAACAAAACAAACAAATACTACGTGAGCAGTGTTTTCCGTACACATGATAACTCAAAGACGTGGAAGTACAGACTGCCTCAACCCTTAAGTCATGAAAAAGAAGGAAAAATTACTCCAGTATGTCCCCAGGTTTAACAGCACTTAGTCGATATATAACAGGTGAACATCCGTGCAACTATTCGAGAAACAATAATTTTAACCCCAACGATTATCAATTTTATATCTTAGTTCCAAACTACATATCATTTCAACTCCTAGAACGGATTTGTACAAAGAAAACTGGCTCAGGAGCAGCGAAACGTTTAAAAATTGAATTGTTGATGAATTATAATACATATATACATATATATAGTTTTTATTCACCCAAACCAGACCAGGCATATTACATTTTAGCTGAGTAAAAAATGTTTTATAGAAATCTTGTTCAAGAAAATTCAAAACTAGTGTGTAAAAATATGAAAATTAACAGTAATGCATCTTAACAGGCAACGAACGTCTCCGAGCTCTCCAATCTTATTAGAATGAGTAAATCGGAGTCTACCAACGACTTTACGTGTTCAGAGAGCCTATTAATATGCTTTATGTCGTTAGCCATCTGAATAATTTTGTCAAAAGAATTTCCTCACATATTTCGTCATGGTTGCATTATGACTTAGCTGATTAAAACAACCAACGAGAAGGGTTGCCATACTTTCTAATGTAGTTAAATAATGGAACAGCTATTTGTGCATACGAACTCCTTGTTTCCTATCAACATGTAGCACGTCTTTGTCAGATAATTTAATTGTATGTGAAAAAATACTTCATCTGCATCAAATTAAGTAAAAAGCTTTACTAAACTAATTTAAATTCTGTTATAAATCCTGCATAAAGTCAACTGATCCTATGAGTAAAGTCTGTACTTACATAGTCACCAACACCCATACTTTGAAGAGATGGTTTGGGAACAAAATAGTTGGTACGATTCCAATTCAAGGTTATTGAGCCATATAAACAAAAGTTAGTGTTTGTTTCCCGAAAAAGTAAAATCAACACATTTCTATTCAGCTACAACTCTGTTATGATTGTAGGTACACAGGTATGTCACAAATTATGGTTGTGAAATGTTAAGGATGTTATGTCAGAACTCTGGTTATCAAAATACACATTTCAAATCATTTGGATAAAGCCCCATCGCGTAGAGGGTGTATTATATAATAACAACATATTATGCATTAGGCGAAAAGCTGTCGATTTCGATATAAAGCGAGTAGGTCTGGCTCTGCTTCACACACAGTGCTATGAATTGTGGCGAGTTCTGCGATATCCCTTTCTCGCACCAAAATGCAGCCCTACATAAAATAACTGATTATTCACTTATTTCTGGCTAAATGAAGTTCCAGATAACCTATAGCTGTTCAAAGTATTTTGAGCTCGGTCTAGTCCAAGCGGTCAGTGCTGTCATTTTGAGCTTACCTTAGTGCTCTCGGACACTCACATCCTTAGGTTCTTTGGGTCAGCCGTATTAGCCCGATAAGTTCAAAAACCTTTTCCCTAAAGTAGCACTGCATGTCATTCTGTCCACATACACTGCTCTTGCACGGTTCATCTGGCCTTTTCGATTTGAGTTTTGCCGTCACTACCTAAAGTTTAGGCAAGGTACTTATTAGTGAGTACTGGTTACACCTAGATGAGTAAGGTCGGTCATATGCTTCTAAATAACAACATATCCAGTCGCTTGCAGACCTATAAGCGCCTTGTGGTATGTAGATTGAATGTATAATCAAATCTTGGACCTGCTGAAGCGCATATGAAAACCCTCACCTCATTCCCTTGAACATGAATAGATCTTGGTGAAGTACTGTAGGGTCTCTACAAGAGAAAGGCAGCCAGTGATTAAAGGATACGTAAGAAGGAGACGGGTAATCGAGTAGGAACCATGAGTGAATCATGATCTGTAATTTCCTCCTTCCCTGTTTAAGGGTGTTCATTGATGAATACGCTCCTATGAGTTAGGTAAAATTACCCACCATTGGTCTTCCAAAATGAATGAGGATGAACGCTGTCGCTTCCTAAATTTAATTCGCATCTGGTTTTCCCATCTTCCATTGGTTAGAACAGTGGTGGTTAATTGAATTTTTGATTTCCCATAGTTAGGTACTGTTGCGCGCTCATTTGTATGGCTTTCTTATGCATGGTTTGCAAACAACTGTGGTGAATACAAATGTAACATTTGGCCATCAACGTTTTGCACACATACATAAGCGTAATTTTCATGATATTTTTCTCACTATTAATGAGTTTCACATTTCAAAAGAAGTGTAAGCTATGAAAGCTGAGTTTATTGAATACCTAAGTCATATTTCATCATGCGTGTTGATCATATAAATGCATAATTTATGTAAATGAACAATCATAGTTACTGTCAGGCGACAGTGAAGACATCCGAAATCCACTAACGACTGTCATACGAATTATCACCAGATAGATACACACAACAACAAGGGAAGGGAAGTTCACTCATTCACTTATTACTATGCAGATATTCTTTGTTTTAGTTTGTCATGTCGGATAACTTCGGATGTGGGCACATAGTTCCGTTTGTTTGAATAGCGGGAAAGTTTAAACGTGACGGAATTTGAATACTGGACAGTTCCTGTCAAATAATGGGAGATACTTCCCAAACAAAAACTTTCGACTTGCACTGTGCTCAGCCTACATATGTGAATAAACTTGTCCACGTTGCAGCGGAATAAAACTCTTTATCTATTACTATATTTTTCTGTTTCATTTGCTTGCGGTGGGGATGCGGCATGCTAGGCTGGCCTCCCTAGGATACGAACTTGTTGCTACACATAAAAGTAATTACGTACGAACATTATAGATTATTATAGGTGATGACTTATAAGGACTTTAGTCAAGCCTAAACGTCAGCCTAAAGTTACTCGATTACGTCTCCTAGCCACAGCTGAATCTGTAGGTACAATGACAAAAACCCAACTCATGTATTCGAAATATAAGAGTAGAAATTAGGCACCGCTGTAGAGACTGATTTCGCATAAGATCAAGAGTATTCAAAGGTAAAAGATTACTATTATTTCACTTAAAAACGTGATGTCAGTGCATATGATCACGGTTGCTGACGTTTGATGCAAAATTAATTCAACATTAGATGAATAACTGAGTAGATGGAGCTGTCACAATCGCAGCACTATTTATTATAATAATTTATGTCACCAATTACTTTCTCAGGTATCATCGATAAGTAAAGCCTCCATCTCGTCATGATAATAAATCGATTTTCACTCGATTAGAATAAGAAAAGTATAGTAGGCAGGATGTGAGGATAATCAAGTGAGAAATAATAGCAAGCAAATATCTGCATATAAATGTTTGTCCAAATTATTTCGGTGGTGTTTAGTTGCTGTGACTAGGTTGACTGCCGTTACCGGACTTCTGTAAATAGATGAATGAAGTGTATCGTTGAGTTCATTGTAGTGAAAAAGTTAAGCGTAATTTAAACACTTTATATCTGCTCACCTTTTCCAACGAATATCATCCTCCTTACTAATACTGGGGTCATGACATCATAGTCCTCTGGTTTTCATCATCATATACATCATTTTTCCTGTCAAATATGGCACTAAACGGATGATGATTTCATGTCGTAGTGTCATTCTGCCTTTCGAAAGATGGTTAACACGTTCAAAAGACACCAATTACGGAAAATTGAGTAACACTTCTTTCTATCTGTTCAGAGTATTTCCTATGACGAAGTTTCTTGTCAACAGTTTGCAGTATTCCCATTTATTTGACAGGAAGCTTGATTTCGTCTTCACTTTCGTCAACTGTCCCTTCCCGGATAATAACATGTAGCAAATGCAGGTGCTTGGGCATTTTAACCTGTACATCATAAAGTCTCTGTGGATAAGCTGCTTGGTGATAAATGGTTAAAAAATATGAGTCAGAAGTGCAACTTCTATGACTTCATAGCCCTAAATATTTCCGGAAGCAGCTGAGAATACCCTGGTGATCTGAAAATGAATGATTATTAGGACGGATATAACTAACACTACAGGTGTACTAGTGGTAGTGGCCACAACCTACTTTTCGACTGAAAGTTAACACAAACTGTAGGCAGTGACAAATTACAGAAAGACCATGCGTAGTATTCTTCTTGTCCTAAAGCACACCGATACGAAGATAAGCTGATGCCATTTGATGCAGTAGATGTCTTCCATGCGACAAAGTAAATTCCACTAGTACAACATCTTCGAATGGACAATTCCAACCATGTACTTCATCAGAGGGACACAATCAGCGAAAAATTCAGCCTCTTATCTCATTCATCAAATGGCTTCTTTGATGTGTCATTTACGATTTCATCCATTAAAAATGAAAATAAAAAAGCTTAAGCTCCTCACAGTAGATATGTAAATCATGTTTGCGGGCCTATCCTCTATCAAAAGCTTGAATATCACTGAATAACTGGGCCGGACTTATCGGGCACGTTGTTTTAAATTTCGCTCGGCAAATTTATTTGTCAGTGAGTTTTAATAAAATTGTGTTATGTTTTCTGGATTGATAGGAATTCCCATTTCCTGACTAGTCATGTTTGTGTCCGCGTCATGCATTCCGGCTGCGGCCCACTCTTAGCATATTGGTTGCAACTGTTAGTGTTTCAGGCGGACTATATTAAAGTGTCGCCATGATGAGCAACATGGCAAAGTTGGAGAGTAGTGTCATCTGCACAAATAGTCTACTTTGTGTAGAAACTGCACCTTTCCGCGTAGCACCATTCAGTGAAGACTTCGCGTCTTGGGATATCAATGCCGCATATTTCCGTGTGAAGAACAGTACTATTTGACAAACGGATGCTATCAGTACATGGAAATCACTTGCAAATCCTAACAGAATCTTCTGTGGGAACAGAAGTTATCATATAGATGTGCTTTTCACTTTATCTGTGGTTGGACAGGAATTATCGTAAGTTGAAAGGCTATCTCTAAGTGAATTTAATCTATATTTGCACTGATTGGTGCAGTGCAGTATGGATTATGTGGATTCAATGTATAAAAAGTATCTGAATTTTATAAATGTTGTGCCATTGTCTGCTTAGCTGACTGCTAGGGTAACGAATGTAAGTGGATCTCATGATCGCTGCAGTGCAGTGGAGAAGGCAATCAGTCGTTTAATTCTCCTCACTGTTTCACTTAGTGCATTAATTCAGTGTATAGTATTATTATACGCACGGATTGTATTCATTATGAGAATTGAATCTAGTTAGCTCTATTATCATCAATCTATTGTCTGTTATGCCATTTCCACTGACACCGTTTACCCAATGCTGCAGTAATTTTGATCAATAGTGGAGATGAATTTCTGAAATTTCCATTTACATAAAGCAATGCAGATGCAATATCACGATTGAATGTCTAGGTTGCATTATATGGCATTGCTATCCTCATCACCACAACAGGTCTGTTTATCTTACAATATTTTAAGTATTTCTCTATGCTGTTAACAGTGTGAATAGCTTTTTAGAGTTGAGGCATGTTCAGCTTATATTTGATGGCTACAGTTTCCTAAATATGAGAATGCAACTTCTGTAGCATTCACAAAACCATGTTCACTAGATATTACTGAGGTTGTGATTACCTTAGGTAGAAGGATTATCGTGAAGTATATAAGTGACGTTTCAGAGAGAAGTGGCTAGAAGGATTAGAACCTGTTCGATATGGTGATCTGTAGGATGTCTGGCGAACTTGTGTATGGCCCATGGGATAGCATCTTGACAAGAAACTGAGCAGGCTTGTAGATCTTAGGAGCGAAAGCATTATTTTTTTACAAGCTAAAACTGTGCAGTCATTATTGTTTAAGTTTTTTAAATTTTTTTAAATCTAATTTTTTAAATTTTCTATACATTTAGTATCTGAACTCATGTTTAATTCTCGAGCTGCCAAAATAATGCATGTTGCTGTCCTACAGATCGGAGCGATTC